ACGGCTGAAACAATTTTGACTCTGTGACACCAACACGAGTGACGACCTAAACCTCTAAAATGAGAAATCAAAATGCCCTGACCTAAGGTTAAGCTGGATCAAATCCAGCTGATAAATTCTGCAAAACAAGGAAAGTTGGACCGCTAATTTCTTAGGGAAAGATTTAAAATCATGATGACTCTAATTAATTTAAACAAACTTTGATTGTTTATTATATATATCCAAACCAGTATGGATGAGATTATTTGAATCTTTCTGTTTAGTTGGCTTGAATTGACTATGAATATCTATGATAAACTAAACTGTATAAAGTGCCCTGAGACAATAATTGTTTCTTGAATTGCTTAAATATAATTTATTATTATATATTATATATTTATTGAACTGAATTTCATGAACAGAAAGATTTAGGTTGTTCTTCTTATCTAGAGGTTGTATCACGACATGCCTTTAAATGCAGCTTTTATTTTAAATAACAAATCAGGGATGTGTTCATAAAATCAACACATGGTTCTGTATATTTTAAAAGGTCATAAAATCCCACTGTGTTTTTGTGTGAGACAAAAAGATGGATGAAAATTTTCCACCTGAAATGGAAAACTGATTGGTTCAAATTAAAACAGAAATTGACATGGAGGTGAGATGGATGTACTTCAGGAGGACATTTGAATGTAGTTTGATCTGATTAGAGGCTCCCACATGTTTACTTTATCTGCAACATCAAAAGAAGAAAACTAGAAATGGATTTTTCATTATATTAACTTTTTATGATCACATCAATACCAGATTTGTGAAAATTTCACCTGTCATGGTTGCCCTGCCAACAGAGCTCTGCAGCTCCTCCAAAGTTACTGCAGGCCTCTGGCAGCTTCTCTGATTAGTTCTCCAATTCCTGAGTTTTTCAGGTGGTTGTTCATGTCTCAGTAGGTTTGCAGAGGTGCTGGACTCTTTCTCTTTTATAATAATGGGTTGCCATAAAATCTAGAAGCGGTCAGTGAGCTGTCAAGAGCTGAGAACATAGTTCAATACTTTAACTGTGCAATGAACTTTAGTACAACTTCCACCCTGACTTGTCTGCTGTCCTCCTCTTCATGGTGATGTTTGTTTTCTAATGTTCTAAACTTCTGTTCTTTATAGAACAGTTATTTCTGCTCTGATTAAATTAAAGAGGAACACCGTTTTTTTACATTTTACATTGAGTTTTGTGTCATTTGGAGCTGTTCTGAAGATATTCGGTTTTGTTATATCCAAGTAACGTCTTCCTATGGGCAACGACTTGAAGGAACAAACTAAACTGTTCATAATTTATTCTTTATGGTACGCCAGCATTCATAACATGTAGGCGAATCACTGTCCCCCAGACATCCGCGGTTATATTTTTTTACATTTATATTTATTTTTTTAACAAAGCGGCGTGTCTATGACGTCATCCGCGCGCGTCGGCTACCGTTCATTCATCCTGTCCGCTGAACTGCTGCTAGTTTTACTCACATGCCTGGAAGATGTCTAGTGCTACTACCACAGATGATCTCGCTCTTAAAATGGAATTGAACGATTCAGATTAGCTAGCTGAATGAATAGAAGGGGTCGAGCGTAGCCGCCTGTGGCCCGGGCTGCCTGTAATAACTCCAGTCCGGCGCACGTATGACGTCATACACACTCCGCTTTGTTTTAAACAGATAGACATACAGATAGACTTTACTTAGTTATCAGGGGCCTCTGAAGGCTTTTGGTTGCAAAAAAAAAAAATATATTTAAGGGTGTCAATGAAAGGTGGATAAATATAAATAGACACCATATTTAACAGATTTGTAATTTTTTAAGCAATTATTCATTCCTAAAAATAAATAAATACACAAATAAATAAATACAAACTGGAAAAACAAAAGGTATATGAATGCTTTTGCAGGACAGTTTGACCAGCTCCTGTTGCATAGCCACATAATATTAGGTAACAAATGTAATATTGTTCTTTAGCACATTATCACATTAAACTAAAGAGCAGGAGGAAATGCAGCAAATACTTGCCATGGGAGTATTCTTACAAAGATTCCTACATACACGAATATATATATATATATATATATATATATATATATATATATATATATATATTTTTTTATTTTTTATTTTTTATTAAAAACACTTTACTGCAGTATTAATGTGGTGTCAAATCATCTGTCAAAGCACAGTACACACGGAAGAACACCTGATGCATTTAACCTTGATGGAGCTGATGGAGACCTGGCTTAACATGGGCATCTGCTGCCCCCTAGTGGCCAATCATGTTGCCAGATTACCAGGAGACGTTTCAGGATGTATCTATCGCTTGTTTGTGTGATTAAATAAACAAACATTTAAAGAAAGGAGAAAGAATTAAAGGGGAATAAAAAAACACATCAAATTGATAGAACATAACAGAAAGCTGTGTAGCAGTCTGATGATTATGGTACACAAAGTTTATGGAGAGGTTATGAGAGGTTTCTAACGAGGTTCAGATCCGTTTTCCTGCAGCAGCTCTGACACAGATCCTGGATGGAAGGTGGGGACATCATGCATGACATCTCCTTCTCTGTTAATTGGCCTCTGCAGGATGTAACGGTAAATAAATTCAACCCATCATTGTTTCCTTACAAATCTGCAAAGGTCTGAAGACAACAAAATGTACACTTAAAAGAAGAGCAGCATCTTTCCATCATATTTTTACTAAAGTAAAACCAAAAAGTGTACATTTAAGAATTTACTCAAGCCAATGCGAAACAAATATTTGGTAAAAAGGCAACTGAGTAACTGCTCAAAACATCTGATTTAACATTTAGAAAAATAAAGCTGCACAAAATATAAAATAATATATTTATTCTGGTATTTAAAAGAATAAAAATAAACACATCTACCAAACAATTACATTATAGCAATATCAGCAACTGTTTTTACTCATAGCAACCGTTTGATACGTTTTAAAACGTATGAAACAGGTATTAATACTATGCTTTTAAATACATTAAATGGGGTAACTTCTAATTTTACTTGATCTCTGAACACCACAGCAGAATCAGGGGATAAAAAAATAACAAGTAAGTCTAAAATATAAACTGTATGTGCCTCTCTCAAGTTTTCTTTACACAAGCTTGTTTTCAATTGAGTGAAGTTATTCATGATGAGTAGAGTAGCCAGAAATCTTTATTTTAACTAAAATTAAAGTAAAACATAAACTGGTAATCTACCGCTAAAAACTGTAGCTGAGTAAATTTGGCTGTTTTACCATCTCAAGCGTAGCATTCAGAGAAAAGCAGCATCTTTGATTAAAGGCTATTAAAGATGAGGAAATTCTTTGGAATTTGCCATAAGTGTATTTAAATAAATGTGAATATTTTGGACATTTTTACCTATTTCAACAATTAACTTCAAAAGTTTAATTTGTCTAGGCTAATAGATAGCAGGTTATGTTTACTTTGCCATCTTCTAACTTTTGCATGGGAGGTTGGTGCCTGTTTCCAGTTATCTTTGGCCTAAAGACAGGAATAAACCATAGACAGGTCTTCATGTAGAGAGTAGACACACCAAAGGGCTTAGAGTCACTAATTGGCCAAATACTCATTATGTATGACTGTGGGAGGAAGCCGGAGTACCCAGAGAGAACTTAAGACCTTTTTGCTGCATGGCAACAGGGCTACCATACAATAACAGTGGCATCAGAAACAAAATTGCTGCCATACCTCATAATGAGTTGTTTATTAAGCTGCACCTGATGAAAGACATGTTGCTAAGCAACCAAAAGAGGACAAACTTGTTATCTTTATGCATTTATTCTGTATATAAACACTTGTTGGTGGAGGAGGAGTATAAAACAAGCAAAGAACACCGTAGATCATTCTACTTGCTGTTTTCTCTTCAAATGGAGAGCCTTCCATACTGTTTGGTTAGTGAGAGAGAAGAGAAAGTCATGAAGAAAAGAAAAAATAACTGGGGGGGACAAGTACATCAACATAGCCTGCATTAGATGGACAATTCATGAGTGAACAGTTCTTCTAGAACCAGCACATTAAAGATAAAAGCACAAGGTAGCTGCTCAGTGATTTTTTTTTTAAATCCAGTACAAAATCAGTGTAACCATCTGCCAGGATGGAGCATTTTAACGTTTCTTTCGGCTGACAGTCTTAAAGACGAAGATTTTATTTTCTAGGACTTGGCTCACGCATACACTTCCTTACTGAATCCTTACACTGAAGATCATATCCACACAAATTTTTTAAATGTCAACATATAAATATTACAAATCTTTTGTTTTTCTTATTTAACTTGAGTTTAATTTAATGATTAAATTGAACTGAATGAATTTGAAACTGAATTTTCTGTGCTCATTATGAAAAGCATTCAAACTTAGAAAAAAATACAACCTATCAGTTTTTACTGTATTTATATAACTATTGATTTTTTTTTTACTGAGTAAATAAAAAAAAGACTCTCCAATAACATCCGATCAATAAGATAAATTAAATTATTTAACATTTAACTATCACCTCTGCTTCTTTGTTTAAGTGCACGATTGTATATTTTTTGTTTAAAACAATTTGAGGGTCAAAGCGCAAGAGGGCCACACAGGTGCGCAATCAAATGATGCTTTCAAAGCCGTTAGCCTTTATAAAGACATTTAACAAACATAATGACGGCAAAAAATTTTTTTATCATTGTTTACTTATTTTGAATCATGTATGTTATAATTTATATAGAAGTTGTTTAACAAGGAAATATAAGTCAGACTAACAGTATACAACATTTCCTGAAAAGTGCTGCCCCTTGCTTTTTCTTTTTTATTTGTTGCTTCCTGTATCCATGAGCTACATTACTGTTTTGTGCCTTAAAATTTGTAATTAGACATTTTGGAAGCTAAAATAAAAAGTTTAAAAACATTTCAGGAAGATAAATCATTTGGTCCTGCTTAAATGACAGGTGATCCGGGAATTTCCGAGCAGCACTTGAAGGCATCATCTTCCGCTGCAGCTTTGGAGGATCGTGGATCAGCAGGCAGCTGCCTCTCTTCAACATGAGTGAAATAAAGGCTCCTGTGACCCTGAAGACGATCCTCATAGGAAACTCTGGGTAACCTTTGATTTTCACCGTCACTCTAGTAAGGTTGGATTTAGTTTGTTTGTGTTCAGGTGTTTCACTTTTTTATATAGATGTAAAAAAAAATAAAAATAAGATAGGATATTTGAATATTTACATGCACTTGTTTACCATTCTACGTGACATATGAGTTACATGTGTGTCGTTTAGGAGAGTGAGGGAAGTTTGAGTTATTTTTCAACGATCTTCTAAGTGCGTGTGTTTACACAGGGTGGGAAAATCCTCCGTCATGAACAGATATGTGAACCACCGCTTCACCAACATGTACAGAGCCACCATAGGAACTGACTTTTTCTCCAAAGCAGTCAGTATAGGCGGAAACACGGTGACTCTGCAGGTGTGTCTCCAGGTCATAGAAATGCATGACTCAGACTGCGTGCATGGCAGTAAATCCTGAGCTGTCTGTTCTGTGTGCTTTAGATCTGGGACACAGCAGGCACAGAGAGGTTCCAGTCTCTGGGATCACCTCTCTACAGAGGGAGCCACTGCTGCATGCTGGTGTTTGACGTCACCTCCACGGCCAGTTTCAGCGCTCTGGATGTGTGGAGGAAGGAGTTTCTGGTCCAAGGAGAGCCTCAGGATCCATCTGACTTCCCCTTCATTGTTCTGGGCAACAAGACGGACCTGAGCAACCGACAGGTCAGGGAAATTAAATTATACTCTACAGTGGAAAAAGTATAACCTTGCTCAAACTAAAAAAAAAAAAAAAAAAAAAAAGATGTCCAGATATCACATCTAAAATATTTGACTTCCCAGAATCTGAATTTAATCACCTGACTATATTATGTTGATGTAAACAATAATACTGCACTTGACACAACTTAAAATCTTTACCCTGTTCCAAATGATTTTCTGAACATTTCAGTTGATGAACCAAACTAATATTGACATTGGACCAACCTAATATACTTACTTTTAACTAAATTAACAAGAATTAATGTTTGTATAGAAACCAGTTCATTAAAATATAACCAAATGAGATTTTTCACATATAATTTGACTTTACTTCAAAAATAATTTCCATTTCCCATCTTACAAATTCTATACACCCTGGACAGGTTGCCAGTCCATCGCAGGGCAACACAACCATTCACACACACACTCACACCTAAGGAGAATTTAGAGAAGCCAATTAACCTAACAATCATGTTAGCCAGAGTACCCAGAGAGTATCCACACATGCATGAGAAGAACAGACAAATTCAGAAATGCAGAAAGAAAAATCCCAGACCAGGAATTGAACCCGCAACCTTCTTGCTGCAAGGCAAGGCTGCAAGGGACTTGGACTTGATCACGTGCTCTGAGTGCATGCAAAGCACAGTTCACATTTGACTCACAGGAAAAAAATTACCTGCAGGCCATGAATAAATATATACATATTGAGATAAATCAAAAACTTTGTCTTTTAGGATTTTATAGACCAACATAAAGCTTTGAAGGAGAAACCAGATCTTTATGTGATTTCTTACCAGTGCTGCAAATGCAGAGCGACATTTATGCGGATTGCTCTCCGCAAAAAAAATAAAGCTGAATCAGATTCTGCAAACATCAATGTTCAAGTCTTGCCTTCAGTTTTCACATCTCTTTAGGTAAACAGAGGATACACTGATAAACCTTTTCAACATTCTGGTGTTGTTTTAGCACCTTCTGTTGCAGCATAAGATGCCTATTTAGGGTTAATGCCTCTTTGGTAAGGTGAACCTCCCTCTTGGGGGTCAGTTTTTCTGCAGCACCTTACAGGACCATCCTTTTGCTCCATTCACCAGATTCCCAGTCCCTGCAAAGACAAGAAAAAAAAAAGAAACCATGGTATGACACAGCCCCTGTTGTGCTTTAACCCTTTATAGGGCAGGTTACAGTTTTTGATCACTTGCATTCCCCTTAAAAATGGAGTCCCTGGTCCCTCAGTGAGGTCTAAAGGCACAAGATTTATATCCAGCCATTCAGTAAAGATACTGCTACATGGCTGTACATCTTATTTTGGCATTTGACCAATTAGATGAACCCTTTAATGATATAGCACCTACTGTAATTTAAGTTTAAAAAAAGGTAAAAAGCTAATTGAAAAGTTAAAAAGTAAAGCAAAAAAGTTATTAAGCCTAGTTAACAATTTTGTTATTTTTTTATAATATATTTGGGCAAGTTGGCATTTCTTGTTATCAAATTGACATTTTTTCCATCAAAATATCCATTTTTTTATGTTACAAAGGTATTAAGGTCTTGTCCTTGATTCCAATAACACTATTGGCTTGAAATGTTGATTTTTTTTTATTTATTTTTTTTATCAATGAGTGCCCTATAAAAGGTTAAGACAGGGATGAGTAGAACATGCAGAGTTATTTTCCCCTAAAGATGTATAGTATGTTGGGACAGGGGCGGATTTAGGAAATTTGGGGCCCTAGGCAAAGACAGGCAGGGGCCCCTTTGGATTGAGAAGACAAAAAATAACACAGACCCATTATACAGATAGAGAAATAGAATAGCCATACATGATTTGTTCTAGGTTTCGTCTCTCTCTATGTTTTGTACTCAGCTGACTTTTCATGCTGTCTCAAAAGGAATGAAAGATTATTTCTAAGTTCTGAGCTTACTTAGCTGATTGCTCCTTCCTGTGTTTCCAAAAAGGTGACGGCAAAAATAAATAACACAGTCCTTCTTTTCATTGTAGACAAGCCATGATCTGCTTATCTGTTCTCCATTTTTCATTTGGAAGAAATAATAGCTGGAAGTAAATCTGCGCCTGTCTCTATTTTTTGGAAAGAACCCGTCCTTCACCTGGAGTGGTCCTCTGCATTCTATCGAGCAGCGTACTCGATCAGACAGCTTCTTTAGCCAGAGTGCCGGGTCACCTTCCAGAAGTACACTGCTCACTAGCTGGGTGGATGATGCTGGAGTCTCGCAGTCTGGTGGAACAACATCATTATGAAAGCCTGGCTGGATCATTCTGGAATTCTTTCCGTCACAGCCCATCTGTTTAATGCTGAAAACAAGAACACATAAAACATAGTATAAGGCTTTTACCCAGTGGTTGAATATAAGTATATTTACTCAATTACTAAAGTAGAAATTTGAGGATGTCATGCAACTTTAACTTAGTCTATGCCACTGTAACTAAGAGGAATAATATATATATATATATATATATATATATATATATATATATATATATATATATATATATATATGATGCATGTCCCAGGACACATACAGATATGACAATTGCTTAAACTACTGAACAGTAAAATATTTCATCTATAATTAACTCGACCCACAACATCCACAGCTGTACACAATAATACACATTAAAGCAATGTTAATACAAAACTGTAATGCAGAGTAGTTGGTAATAACTTGCTTATGTTTTTTGAATGTATAACAAAATTATTAAGGACTAAAACACCTAAAACTAAAAGCCTGAGGTTTTCCTGAATTTTAACATGGGAAAAAAAAAACCCTACATAGATTATTTATCGTTTTTAGCAAAAATGCTCAATAAGACAGTTGCTTATTACCTGAGTGGATGATGCTGGACTAGCAATTACCAAATAAATACAAAACTTGACCCATGTTTAATGAGGTAAATAAACTTATCAAAATAGGGGAGACGTCCCCTTCGACGGTTTAATACTCACCAGGAGTTCATCTCCACATGAGGGACCCTCCTCAACAGGGGCCAACTTTACCGCTGACATTGCTGCTGCTGGTGTTAGCCGCTGCTGCAGTGAAGAAGCTGAAGTCAGTCATTGTCTCTAACTTTGAAAGCAGCTTCCTTTCCTCCTCCTTTCAGCACCGCTAGGGTAGCTTCTTTTCATCTCTTTCGTCTTCCGTGTGTCTGGAACTTTCTGCACATGTGCAGCAAATATACTGATCCAATCTAGTGGACACTTAATATAATAAGCATTCTAATAGCATTTTAGCAAAATGAATTTTATCAAAAACATGTGCACAAATAAGTATTAGCTGTATTAACCATACATGTAAAAGGAGTTTTATGGGCCCCCCAGGCAACTGCCCATGTTTGGCTAATGGTAAGAACGCCCCTGTGTTGGCAATGAGTTGCATAGTGTTTGTTTGAAAAATGAGTAAAAACTTGAGCCTTTTCAGATCTTGGGTATGTAAGAGCGTTTTAAAAAGCACATAAAGGTGACATCCCATCCCAAGAGATCCTAAGAAAATGCAAATGTGACATATTAAAAGGTTTAAGGGGTGTGAATATTTTAGTGAGGAACTGCATCGGGCATTTCCTAATTCACTTTCTTCCCCAGGTGTCTCACAGAAAGGCCCTGCAGTGGTGTGAAGAAATTGGAGCAGAATACTTTGAAGGAAGCGCCAAAGAAGACTTGGACCTTGAGAAACCGTTTCTGAGAGCTGCAGAACTTGGCCTTCAGCAGGTAATTGAGTCAAAAAGAACAAGGAGACTCAAATCTCTGTTTAACATGTTTATTTTCGATGATAAAAGATACATTACTCCCTACAGTACAAAAAACACACATTGGAAAATACAGGACATTTCCAGATAACCTGCGAACAGCCGAGAGAAACTCGCAACACCTGTGAGTGCTGAGGAGCACCCGTCCCAGGGAAGGAAAGTTGAGAGACCTCGGCACTGCTGATGATGACCTATCTAACAAGGGTGCAAAAATAGTGACCCGGCAAAGGTACTGTGGAAGGAAAGGACACAATTGTATATACCACATGGAGAGAGGAACAAACTCATTAAATGTTTTTTTTTTTCCATCTTTTTTTTTTTTCTTGAGAACCTTCAGCTTATGGTCTAACTTAAGGCAACACTACTAAAATACACTGCTTTTGCATGCATGTCTAGTTTTGTTCAACAGACACACCGACACGCACAAAATTATGAATGCATATGAAGAGAAAGTTCGTTTCTAGAAAGAAATCAGAAATCCTAACCTGAACCCAAGGCGGCAAAGCAGACCCTCGGCTCTGATGCTCAGGCCTCTTTTTATTTTTTAAACCATCACAGCTGAACCGCCCTTACAGAAGATCTCCAATCATTTCCGGTCAGAAATCTCCCTGTACACATTTGATGAAGCTAGCAGGATTTCCTCACTCCTAGTGAATCAGCTTGACAGAAACAAAAATCAATCAGAACAATCAGGGAGACTATATATATATATATATTTATATATATATATTTGTTTCTTTAAGTAAAGACACAAAAGGCGATCAAGAGATGACCAACATGTAAAAACAGTTTGTTACAGGTAATTATATAAAAGGCCAAGATGTTTTTTTTGTGTGTTTTATTCTTGCTCTATGAACGATTTAATTTACAAGTGAGTCGAACTGTAAGCGGCCTTCTCAGGCAATTCCATTCAAAGACAACATGTCACAGGTAGCTTTGCACACCAGCTGTGGTCTGAAATACAGAGCCTTAAAGGAAAGACTAAATTTATTTAGTTGATTCACAGACAAAGTGTGTGTGGTGGGGGGTCTACTAATATATTTAACCATTCTAAAAATTAAAGATTTATGAGCATAAGAAGTAGGGAACAACCAACTGGGTATAGGGAGAAAAAGGTCAAAGGATCAAATACCGATTTTTTTTTTTTTTTTTTTATCTTGTAACCCTGGAACATTTGTGTTTGGCAAACAAAGCAACACAAGCATTGAGAAATAAACAAGGTAAAAAATAAAACTCCTCTCCCTGGGTCCACTTCAAAGTTCCCTTCAGTCCTACAACCTGTCCGGTTCTACTTGGAACAAATACAAAAGTCATCTTTCAACAGGAACATACAACCAACCGAGTGAAGGTTTTTAAAAATATAGTGACTTCATGAACACAGCCACCTTGTCTTCCCACCAACACAAACTACGAGGATCGACAGTTAAAAAAAGAAAAAGAAAAAAAAAAAGGTGTTTTCTTTTAAAATGCACACATACACATACACACAGGAGGAAAACAAAGCTTAAAAATACAAAAATAAACTACACAAGAGATTTTCTGCGTCACTGCTAATTTTTTGGGGAAGGTTTTTGGAATTTCTTTTTAATGTGTGCTGCCAGTCTCTGTCCTAGCCAAAGTCCGCCATTCTTTCTCTACAAATCTCATCTTTTTTCCCTCCTTTTGCCGTCCTTTCCAAAGCGTCAGCCATCACGCCTCGTCTTGGGGTAAAAAGCGCACAGTGATGATATTACCAGGAGACTGGGGTCCAGTATGATGACTGTACAGACTTGGTTCTCTATGAAGCAAATTGTTTGGAGCAAAAAAAAAAAAAAAAAAAAAAATGTCCTCTTTTGTGGAGGACAAGTGCTTTATTTGTTTCCATACCGATTTTTCCGTTCATCTAAACTAATGCCTCCACAGCCATTTTTTTTCAACACTGTACATTTTATGTAGTCTCTTTCTACATCCCCCCCAGAATTCACAAAACAGGAAAAAACAAAACAAAAAAGTAACATAGCGCTCAGGCTGGCTCCCAGTTTGTGAATGGTGTAAATACTTCTATAATGTTCAACTACTTGGAAAAAAAAGAAGCCAAAAAAATAGATGTTAAAATGAAGGAAGGGGATGTGACTGAAAAAAAGAGAGAATGTGCTTCTAGGTCTGAGTTGCTCTAAAAATATTACGACCAACAGATCAAATAGGAGGAGGGGTTTATCTACAGAAACGCGTCTCAGATTGACTTTCGTCTTGGCGTCTACCAGAGTCGACGTCTTGATCTGAGACATGGGGATGGAGGAGATGAGTACGATGAGAGAGGGTCAGTCTTCCTGATAAAAAGGATAATGGGGAGAAAAAAACAAAAGCAAAAGAGGGGATTCTGGGCAACCTCACTGGTCCGTCCTCGCCTTCTTTGGACCAGTTGTCTTGCTGCAATGAAGACACATGAAAGCAGAATGAGCAGCGTTCAGCTACAATCACGTTCAGCCTGTGTTCGAGTTTCAGATGATACTTACGGATCAGGAGAGGTGCCTGGTCTTTTAGCGGCAGGTTTTGCAGAAGTTGCGTCTTTACCAGATTCTGTGGATTGCAGCAATAATTAGATCTAGATCATGATTTGTTGTATGTATTCAGTTTGACGTTTCACCGCAAACTGGTTCCAATAACCAAACCTTTTTTATCCTTTAACTTAATGTAGTTGCCAAAATTGAATGGGGATGCTGTTAATTTGATTTAGCCAATATAATTTTATGTCATAAAACCTACATGCAATTAGACTGAGGTAATACAGAAGCAGTAGCTTTTATTTTTCTTCAGAGGTTGTTATTGTTCTGAGGGTCCAGATGCTTCAAGTATGTTTAGGTAATCCTTTGGTGATCTCTGCCCCACATGCATGGAGTCATTGGAGACCACAGAGATCTAACCAATGAGGAAGCCTGGAGCACAAAAGCTCTTAGGGCGAAATCTACATCGTTTTTTTTGTAAGTTCATGCAACATTTTTTCTTTATTAAAAAAAAGTTTCTCCACAGTCTTTAACATAGCGAGCCTATAGTAGACGGAGTACAATCAGAGAAGAAAAACAGTGTGTGAAGGGACACAGCTGCTGAACGCTGTAGAGGCCTGAGCTGCTGCTCTGCCAGCCTGTGTGCTCATAAACACCTGCAGGGTGCAAGATATCCATCTGACTCCAAGGTTGATTCACCGCTCCAACAATGAAAGGGTTCATGAAACTGACGCAACTACAGCTCACAATCACGTGAAGCAAAAACAATGAAGCGGCTTATAAATATGTTTTCTGTTGTTTAAAAATGCACTTTCTAATGTATCCATAGAAAGCTTGCCAATTAAAGGCAAATAAATGCTCCTTTTTCATCCTCTGATCTTAACAGGCGAGGTTCAACGACATAAATGGAAATTGAAAACTTGAATGCAAAAAGAGTATTGTTAAAATTTTTCGAGATAAGCACAGACCGTAGACTACAGTCCTTAAAGCTGAAGTCTGTAAGTTTTTAAAAATCACTTTTTTGTCATATTGGCTAAAACTGTCCTTATGCCCAGACAGCAGTACATGTGATATGTAACCTGTGAAAAAAACTGCTTCAATTGGTACCGCCTACTGCCTGTATTTCAATCTGGAAAGAATAATTCGGGACGAGTCAAAACAACCAATCACAGCCAGAGGAGCGTCTGATGGAGTGTCAATCACAGCTCACACACGCTGAATCCCGCCCCCCCCCCCTTCTGGTCGCATGCGGTAGCCGCGCAGATGCTGTGAGAGGGGTGGAGCTTGGAGGTGGGGCATGAGTGAAGCAGAGAGGGTGGGGGAGTGGAGTGAAACCTGTTTTTCTTCAAATTTTCAGTCGAAGTCTGCTCTCTCTTCAATGTTACAGACTGCAGCTTTAAAGGGCCAGTCACATTGACTTTTTTTAAATACGCCAGTAGCTTACTATTATTATAGAGTGTTTGTGCTTTGAATGACAAAACTAAGTGATCGGATGTACGGCACGGTGCATGTGCACTGGGAGTAAACAAGGAAGTGACATGACCAAGCAAGTTATCACCTTCCAGTTAAGATAAGAAAATGAAGAGCAACATCCATTGTGGGAAAAAAAACACAAAAAAAATTTTATTCATAGAGGAATATGACTCTCAAAGCACTGGGTAGTGATGGGTTTGAGGCATCTTGAAGTGTTTTGACACCTTACCAAACTATTGATCTTGTGTTGATACTGTCTCACGGAATACTGACACCTGCTGGACCTTTAAAGACACTACAGGCAGCTTATTTGATGGACTAAACTGAATTGATTTAATTACTTACTACAATCATATAATTTAAATTAGTGTAGGTAGTATTGTATTATTTCATATCTTTTATATTTATAGATACAGTCAATAAATAATGTAAATATATCACATGAAAATTTAGGGGAACGTGAGTTAGAATGCTTGTGGACTAGGATTTTAAATCATTTTTAAAACAATAAGTGAGGTAAAAACAGTAAATAAACTAAGAGTCAATTTGAAATGGACTTTAATTCAGATAAGTTGAGTTATAACTCAGTATAAGTTATCACTCACACAATGAGAAAATAAAAATGAAACAGCTGAAACGTTTCTACTCCTCTTGGGCTGCTCCAAATTTCTTGATAATTTCAATGATAAACTGTAAAAGATGAGACATTGTTTTTTAGCAGATGCATCATGTTGACCGATCCATTTTTAAACACAGTTTAGTGTATCAGTCAGTTAGAACCAACTGCTGTATCGGTCACATGACTTTCTTGAAACGACACGAGCACCGATAGTGTTTTGCTCTATGGGCTTGACGTATCGGTGGTGCTGGACCCATCACTCGCACCGGGTATACAGAATGGATGTTTGTGAGGCAAGAACTAAACCTGCAGTGGCATTCAGATGTCACTGTGGAGTCTATTGATGCACGACTAAATGTCAATATGAACAACTATGCCCTTTCCATAGTATCTTACAATGTTTTCTTTCTAATGATTTTTTTTTTTATTAATCTCTGATAGAGGATGATTTTCTGGAACTCAGCTGTATATTTATTTAAATAATACCATTTGATCTTCAGCCACGCTGAGCTGTCATTTTTCCATAAGGCGTGGCAGCACAGTGGGATCTATTAATCCGCGTCCGCTGCCACTGTTTTTTTTTTTTTTTTTTGGTATTGGTATGAAAGCAGACTATGCCCCTTTTAAGGTCCAACTCTTTATGATTTAACAAACAAAAAACATAACTACTATTAAGTGAACAATGTGACTGAGTTCATCAGATTGAAATGTTCACCTGAAGAAGATGAAGTTCTCTTGCTAACAGCACTATGAGGTGATGAAGTACTTCTTCAGTGTATTGTTCATCCAAAAAGTGATGCTGTTTTAAACTGTCTCCGTGAACTTGCATCTTTTACGACTTCGAGTTGGTAACCAGTGGAGAAAGGAGTCAAGCTCCAGTCTCGATACAACCTGAGGAATCTCTCTGCTTACCTTGTAGCCATCGAACTTGAGTGGCTGGACCGTAACCCTTCTCATTGCGGGCAGCGATGCGGAAGATGATAGCCGGCTTAGTCGTGTAGTCGATGTGGGCATTTGACAGGCTGGACGACTGCACCAAGCAGGAGGGGTTGGGTCCACAATACACTCGCATGAAGGCTAGCTGGGCCGGGGTGGAAGCCTTGGCCTCAGCTGTCTGGCTGCTCTGGATGGCCAGGTATACGGAGTACTCAATGATTTTCCCTGATGTCACTGAAGGCGGCTCCCAGGTCAAGTGAGCACCATCTGGACTCTGGAGACAAAAGTAAATAAATAGAATGTCATGGCAGAGGAAAGTCACATTTCCACATCCCAGAAACATTTGGCCAGTGATAAAATTCTCACCTTGCTAATTTTGATGGCACATGGGGCCCCTGGGAATCCAGGTAGGCAGGTCTTGAAAGCAGAAATCTCAGAGAATGTTCCACGACCACAGGCATTGA